CACACACACACCACAATTTTGATCAGAGCTTTGTAATCCAGCCTCTGAATTGTTCCTAGTTTCTTCACTTTCATATGGTTTTCATTCTCACTAATTTCATAATTTATTTTTTACACTGTGAAGTATTGGCTATAATAACTGTTTACTTGAAAAAAAAAACTCATGGTTATGTTTTTGGAAGACGTTTTTGAATTTGAACATGGTGTTGCTGCATTTCTTGTTCTCGTCCTTGTTTTATTATCTAGTTAGTTATCACACCTACTAGCCCCATGATCTGTTCCTTGTTATATCTGTAGCTTTTATTTTTTTTCTCTTGTTTCACCTTGTAACTGCATCGTTTGAATTGAGCAGTCCTAAGCATGCTGTAATTTGATTGAACTTTTTATCCACTTTTTTTTTCTTTGGCCCAAAGTATTCATATTCTCTTATTTTTAATTTTTTGAAGTGTCTATATGGAGGAGCACCAAAGGGTCCACAATTGAGGGATATAGACCGTGGAGTAGATATTGTTGTTGCAACTCCTGGTCGGTTGAATGATATTCTTGAGATGAGGAGAATCAGTCTACATCAGGTTTCTTATCTTGTACTCGATGAGGCTGACCGTATGCTGGACATGGGATTTGAACCCCAGATAAGAAAGATTGTAAGGGAGGTACCTGCTCGTCGTCAGACCTTAATGTACACAGCTACTTGGCCAAAAGAAGTTCGAAAAATTGCATCAGATCTGCTTGTTAATCCTATTCAAGTCAATATTGGCAATGTTGATGAGCTTGTTGCTAACAAATCCATAACTCAGGTCTGAACTTAACTGAACGTGGTTTCAATATTTGGAATGGCTTTTAATCGGTCTTCTTTATTATTAGGTTGTTTATGTGAATGTTTTAATTTGTGGGTATTCTGTGTTTGAATTTTCTACAGTTCTCAATTATCTTTAATTTGTATTTTATTGACCTGCATTGCAGCATATTGAAGCATTAGCGCCCCTGGAGAAGCATAGACGATTGGAGCAGATATTGAGATCTCAAGAACCAGGATCAAAAGTAATAATCTTTTGTTCTACAAAGAAAATGTGTGATCAACTTGCTCGTAACCTTACGCGCCAGTTTGGAGCTGCTGCTATTCATGGGGACAAATCCCAGGGTGAGAGAGATCATGTTCTTGGTCAATTTCGCAGTGGGAGGACTCCCATCCTTGTCGCTACTGATGTTGCAGCTCGAGGACTGGACATTAAAGACATCAGGTTTGTATCACTGTTTTAGTTATTAGTTTTCTTTAATTTTGTATATATATGTGTGTGTGTATGTGTGTGTGTGTGTATCAACTTTTGTTAAGAATAAAATATGAGAGATCTGCAGAAATATTGGGTCTGACTGAAAATAATCAGTATCATTTCCGTTTCTGCGAAGCATATTTTTGGTCATAATACTACTTCTTTACAGAGTTGTTATCAACTATGACTTCCCTTCCGGAGTGGAGGATTATGTTCATAGGATTGGTCGAACTGGGAGAGCAGGTGCTACTGGTATTGCTTACACATTCTTCGGTGAGCAGGATGCCAAGTATGCTTCTGATCTGATTAAAATTTTGGAGGGAGCTAACCAGCGAGTCCCACCAGAACTTCGTGACATGGCTTCTCGAAGTTATGGAATGACCAAGTTTAGACGTTGGGGTCCTGGTTCTGACGGTCGTGATGGGGGTCGCGGTGGACGCACTGACTCAAATTCTGGTGGGCGGGGTGGACAGGGATCATCTTTCTTTTCTTCTGCTAAGCCAGACCGAGGCGGTGGCCGTGGATATGACTTCGACTCTCGTGAGAGGTACTAAATTGTTTTTGAATTATTTGGGTTCGTGAAAGGCTTTTGCTGCTCATAATTTTAAAAGCTGTTTCTTCCTCCCATTTATTGGTAATTTGTTTGTTATTTGGTTAACTATATTTGATGTTTTGAATTATGCTAGAAACTTGAGTTTTTCAGTTTTATGGCACGTGTAGTAAGCAATCAACAGAAATTTATCATGTAATGGTGGTTTCCATTTTCCCTCGACAGGTACGATGTTGGACATAATAACCGTGGTCGCAGTCCACCAAGGAGTGTGGTGGGCGTGGGAGGTGACCGAACCAAAAGTTGGAACCGGGAACACAGCCCACCTAGTTGGAGCCCGGACAGGTCTGCACCAGCACGTGACCGGTCTCCAGTACGGAGTTTTCACAAAGCAATGATGGAGCGTAGTGGCAGGTCATCCCCGCCATCGAACAATCAGAATGTTCCACCTCGAGGAATTGACAATGCTTCTAAGAACGGTATTGGAAGTTGGAACCAAGGCCGGAGCCGGAGCCGAAGTCCCAACCGTTTCAACAGGGCTCCAGCAGCACGAGAACGTTCTCCAGTTTCAAGTTTTCACAAATCAATGATGGAAAAAGGAAATTTTGGAGACAACCCAGAGAAGGATTTGAGAAAATTGCCCAGTGATCGTATGGATGGTGGTCGCTTCTCGTATCCTCTAGAAGAAGACGAGGAAGGCATGATCCCGCAAGAGGAAAATGGACATGCATAGGGGAGCGAGCAGGAAAGACGGATAGAATCGTCCATCTCCCAAGGCATTTATTTTTGAAGGGAAAAGGTCAGTGAATGGAAGGTTAGTGCATTAAGCCTTTTGGTGCATATTTTGATTAATTAAGGAAACTATAAAAGACCCAAGATTCATCCTCCTATGCTTTGTCTATAAACTAAACCTCAACTTTTGGTGCAAACAAAGGGAAGGGCTGGTTTACTATATGTGCCTGAAGATAGAGCTCCAATTGAAACATTTCATCTGTTCTATTATATTCTATTCTATTGGTTCTGTTTTACTCCCAGGCTTTCATTTTTTGGGTGAGGGGAGGTGGTTTTGTATTTGGATACAAAATGTTATGGACATGGGCTGTAATAGAAGAAGGGTATAATTGTAAATTTAGCGATGTTGTGTGTGTTGTCTCAATGAGAGATGTACATGTACATGTTAGGGAGTAGAATCGGTGCTCTCTTTAAACATTTTGGTGTCACTGTTGTTGTTATTAGACTTTTGGAGAATGGAGTTTGTTTTTGAACAATTTCTACATTCTTGTTTTTGTTGAACAAATTTATATCCTTGTATGCCTTAACTCTGGCAGTTGTTCGATTTTTCGTCCCAGATGCAAAATGGGAGTTCGTTGAACTGTCGACGTCGAGGGATGGGGTTGGGCAATGAAAATTGAAGGGGAAGGGGGGTTGGTTAAATCATAGGGATTAGATTCTTACCTACTCAAGTTTAGCACTATAGATTAAATTGTTAGGAACTAAAGATTAGGTATTTAATTGTCTTCAATGAAAGGTGAAATTGAAAGTATAGTGAATGTGGTATTGAACTAGTTAAACAACTTAACAAATTAATTTTTTTTTGTTTCTAAAACTTAACAATGTAAGATACAAAAGTTAAATTAGAAACAGTCAAAATAATTATAATATTTAATTACTAAATAATTTTTTTGGTCAAATGGACGCAACATAACCCATCGTACTCTAACCAATCAAAGACCTGACGTGTGAAAAAAAAAAACAAAGCTTTGAACATTCAACGAAAATTGAAGCATATTTTTTTCAACTTTGGAATTTTATTTTTTAAAGTTTGTGATTCCACTTATTATGGTATTATGGATTCACTGATAGACCGGTACATATTTTAAAGCTATTTTAGTCTCTTTTTTTTTTCAGTGTAAGTTTAGTATTTATCTTTGATGAAGAGGTCATAAGTTCAAATCACCTACCCCACTTTCAAAAAATAAGTGTGCTAAAACTAAGGAGCGAAAATACATATATTATAGTATACATTATTACCACCACAACAATGTTGGCTTAGTGGTTTCATCCTCCTCGTGTGTGCGTCCCCCACCTCTCGTGTCCTATGATTGATCCCCAGCGAATTCATTTATTTATTTATGTTTTTTACATTCTCTAAGCCTTGGGCTAGAATCATAGGGATTGCATTGTTTTATTTTTGTTTTAAATCACTTTTGTAATTGCCAAAATCACTTCAATTTAAATTTGTAATATTTTACAATGATATACAAGTAATTTTAGAAAATGGTAAAATTAATTTTAGTTGTGCGACAATCAAATTCTCGTGCTCTAGAAACAAAACACCACTCACTTATTATATCTACAAATAACTTATACATTTGAATTCTCTTTTTTTTCTTTTAGCATTCACAAAGTAATTTGATATATAGAGCCAAATGCAACTCTTAAATCTATGGAGCCAAATTGAACTATGGTTAAAAGCATATTAACAAAAAGAGGCGCAAGCAAAAAAAAAAAAAAAAAAGGAAAAAAACTATCTCCAATTAGGTTCAATCAATACGAAACTATACATTTTATTTTTATTTTTATTTTTTATTTTTACTTCTGGACATAGAAGAATTTGAACCTGGATCTTGAGTTTCAACACCCAAGGGTGCGAAACTATACATATTAGTCTATTCAATTTTTTAAACTTATAAAATAAAAAATATTGACCTAAGTAATTGCATTATCAACCGAGTTATATTTAGGTTGGGCCGATTTACTTCTTAATCAAAAATGTCAATTTTAACTTGATTCATTGGTTTAAAGAAAAAAAAAATCTACTTTGCATTGATTTTGACAAAAACAACCCAAATTAAGGTGTTCAATTTGACATTTTTCATATGTCCATTTCGACGTTAATAGAAAGGGTGGGTAAATATTTACACAGTATCACACAAAATATAAATAACATCAACAAAACATCACTAAACCTAGTACTAGTAATAATAATAATTTTTAGCCTATTTAAAAATAGTAAAACATGTTGTAAAATTGAGGAACGAAATGAGGTAACGTCGGAGAAATAAAATAAACAAAATAATTCAAATAATAAAAGAAAATTCAAAATTCAAAATGACATTTATAGGCCATGGATAAGCATGTTGACCTTATTTATAGGCCATGAATAAGCATGTGGTGTGATTTACCTGACACTAATAATGTCTAAAATTGAGACATATGATTTCCACACATGATGCATGGATAATGGAACATATGAAGTTATGAATAAAAAACACATAAAAGACATGGATTATGAGACATCTCAAACACTAAACAAGGGTACATCTATTTAATTTAAAAATTCGTAATAAAACATTTATTTATTGATTTGTATATTTTGTTATAATCTTATCACAAACAAACATCTACTGATATCCACATTTGATAAGACATTTTTTTAAAACTTGACGTTTCTTTTTTAGTTGTTAAAAGAAAATTAAAGTGAAAAATGGTTCTTCAAACAAGAGAAATTTTGAGGCTGAGAAACTGTCAATGGTTAACTTCCACCGAGAGAAGCTCCATAGACGCGTCTGAGATGTGGCGAACGTTTAAGGCGGAGCCGAAGCGGTTCGCTAATCATTCTCATCCGATTTTGAAATTTTCCTCTTTTCAAGGCAAGATCGCTTGTCGCCATCGACGAAAACGAATGCTCGAACTGGAACCGTCTTCAAATTCTTTTTGCCTATTCCAGAATCGTTCACTTTTTCCCATTTTCTGTCTCTGTAAGTGATCTACTTCTCATTTCACTGTACTCAGTCGGTTTTGTTGCTCGGGATATGAAGGAAAACTCGTTGAGAATGGGAACTCGAAGTGATTTTGATGATCGTTTGCTGTGGTGTTTTGTGAATTGAAATGAGGCTCGAATTTGACAAAAGAATAGTTCAGTAGCTTGGAATGGATTTGGATTTAATATCGTAGTAATATTTGAAAATTGCCGATTAACGAATGCGATTATTTGACAATTTCGACGATACGGCATTTACTTTTACTACTCTTATGTTGTGATTGGAGAGTTCATACATCGAACTATCTTTTAATGCATTGATCCGGAAATATAATCGTAATCCTATTTTACTACTCTAGGTTTAGATCGGTTGTTATCCGGATTATAATTTAATGAATGAAAATAGTTAGCAAGTTGCGTTAAAAAATAGAGGATGATCAACAAAATTAGGAAGTGAATCCATGATATATCGCTCTCAGGATGCTGTACGAAGCTACTGTTGATGCAACGACCCTCGGTTACTGGTTACGCTGGAGGGTACTGTTCTGTGCAATATGTGTATTTGCTTCTTTTTCTGTAGCATTGTGGATGATATGGAAATATGAAATTAAAGATCGACTAGAACACAGAAGACAAGAAACTCAGCAAGATAAAAACCAACTTCGGAGTTGTGAAGCTTGGAGACCATGCGTCAGACAGATTCATCCAATTTGGTTGCTGGCTTTTCGATTTTGTGCTTTCTGTTTGCTGTTGGCTTCACTAATTGTGAAGGGCCTTTTGAACGGGGCTTCCATGTTTTATTATTACACCCAGTAAGCATTCTCTTATTATTATGATTATTATTTGGCTATCTCAAGGCAGGGTAAATCAACTCTAATTGTGTTTCATCTCTGGCTTAGGTGTTCAAGCCCCTAATTTCTTGCAGTTAATTGTCCCTTGGGACAGTAAGACATCTTGATTAGTCTCATTTGGTCTTAGTTTTAGTTAAAATAAGGAATTTAAATTGTTGATTAGACACCAAGGATGGAGAAAATTCTGAGTGCTTAGTATATTTACAGGGAACCTTTATCAACCTCCATAATTTCAGGAGGTTGAAAGTTTAAGACAATGGTTTTCAAGAGTAGATATTTAGATCCGAGCTCCCAAGTGGCAGCCCAGTTGGCAAGGACTTGAGATTTTTTGGTCATATTGGCTTAGAGGTCTCAAGTTCGCAACTTCTGGTGAGCTTAATACAAAAAACCATTGATGTCTCCCACGTCCGGGCCTTGAGGCGGGTGGGGGTGCTCCTTGGTATAAATCCATGTATTATCAATCTGTGTTCTTAACGATGATATAGATTGCAATTTGCCAACAACTTTTCAAGTGTTATGAACCTTTTCCCATAATAATCTTCTAATTTTGGTTTTGTTGTATGCATTGTGTTGGGCTAGATGGACATTTACTCTACTTGCAGTATATTTTGCGGTATGTTATCCTCTTTTTTCTTATTCTCGGTACTGAGAATAGCACACCCACTTTAATGTATTTTAGTTTCTTCAAATGTTTTAGTAACACATGATCTAAATTTCCTTTTTCAGTGCGGGTCAGTGGTTTCCATGTATGGAGTTCTTATCTGCAACAAAACAAGAAGTGACGGTTTAAATGCTCGTCTTAATGAGAATAGTATGGAGGAAGGGCAACATGTTCCTCTTCTTTGTGGGAAGCCCTCAAATATAATTGGGGGTAATATAGTTTCGTATTCCAAGGAGCAAAGTATTTCCTCGAAGGCTGCCGACATCTGGAGTTACATTTTTGAAGTTCTATTCCAGGTCAATTTTCAGTTTAACTTCTAAAAGATAAATTCTCCAATTCGTTTGAATCAACTTTGTTGACTGTTTTTTGTTTTATACAAACAGATAAATGCAGGGGCAGTTGTTCTCACTGATTGCACTTATTGGTTCGTCATATTTCCATTTCTTACGATCAAAGATTACAATTTTACCTTTGTAAGTATCGTGGTTTCAAGTGCTACGTCTGGTCTTTATTTTGTCGTTTGCTTGGATGCAGGTGAACCTAAAATGCAGAACTATGAAAAATTGTTGAAATTTTCTGTTTTAATGGGGCTTTTTTCCCAAATGATAGATCAGATATAGTTATAATTAGTATTGTTATATTCATTTGAGACCGTTTGTTGAATTTTTGTTCTTCATATATGACCATTTCTATTCTCCGTTGCTTAAGGTTTGCTCCATCTCAATCAGTTATCTCCATAATGTCAGATGACGATTAATATGCACACGCTGAATTTGGTTCTACTTCTCGGTGAAACTGCTCTTAATAGCTTGGTAATGTTCCCTCTTATATGCTACATTCTGTTTTCTTCCTCGTACCCTTTCTTTTAACAAGCTGTTTGATGTCGATGCTCAGCAGTTGCTTCCAATGCCCCGGATTTCATATTTCTTTTTATGGACGGGTGTTTATGTCATTTTCCAGTGGATCATCCATGCATTTGTTTCGATTGGGTAACTTACAATTTCCCYTTGTCCTACTTTCCAACTCTTACCTATTTAAATTCACCAAGTGAATAGCAAGCACTGGCTTTCTGCAGGTGGCCATATCCATTTCTTGATCTGTCAGCTCCTTATTCGCCATTATGGTACGCACTCAGATATTTATTTCAGTCGTCGAACATTATTTGACATGATCTTTCGTATAAATTTAGTCTAGAAATTATATTCCGATTAACAGACATGTGACTATTAATTTTTACAAATGCATATGCATTCATATTGCATAAATTCATAAAAAATGCCATCCTTTCCTCATAAGTTCTCTGTCTCTTTTTTGTTATAGGTTTAATTCCTATTTTGGTCAATAAAGTTTCACATTTTTTTTTTATTTTAGTCCCTAGTTAGTTCCTAAATTTTGTAAAAAAAGCGATTCTTGCATACTATATGTAGCTTAAAATACTTGTCCATGTATAGATTTGCTAATCAAATAAATGAACCTAAAATGTGTTTATATTCAAGGGCACGGTGAAGAAGGAAGGAGGGGGGAGCAATTGTCCTCCTAGTTTTTCATGATTCAAAAAGTGCATAAAAATATTTAAAGTATGGGTGTTTTCCACTGATTTGCTCCTCCTAAATTTTTAGAATTGAAAGATTATATGTATATAAAGTTGGACTGAAATTTTTTCTGCCTCTGCCCCATAACCAGGTTTGTATCAAATAATTTATAGAATATTAATCTCAAGCCAAAATGGGATATGAAATGTTAAGGGTGAGTTTAGTTGGGGATTTGAAAACAAGAGATTCAATGACAAAGTTGTATTATTTGTTTTCAATGTTTTCGGATATGTGTTAGGTAACAAAGATTTGACAATGGAATCTCAATTTAAAAAATTGTTCAATGTAATATATTTGTAAACCAATGATAGTTACTCACTAAATATTTAGTTTAATCTAAAATAATATTAATTAGTATATTAACCTTCTTGTTATAAATTTGGTAGAATTGTTTTTTTGGAATATTATATGATTTATAATACATTATAGGGAAAAATAATATATTAACATTTTTGTTATAAACTAATGATGGAACGAGGGAGAGGTCCCTCCCTCGTTCGTTCCCTCTTCGTTGTCGGTGGAGGTCGTCGAAGGAGATTGACGGTAGCAGCGTTGATGGCCGGCGAGGATGGAGACAGTGGCCGGTGGTGAGTTCCATAGGAAGAGGGGAGGAAGGCGATAAAAGATGGAGATAATTTGAATAAAAAAGTCCAATCATACAAAATAAATTTATAAATTAATATATTTTACCAAATCCAAAATAAGTTACATCTTACTGTTAGTCGATTGAGGTCAGAGACCATTTAGGACTATTTTCCAAATTTCAGAGACTAAATAGGCACTAGCCTCAAACCTTAGGATCAAAAGTGTATTTTTTACATTTTTAATGTAATAATTTTGCATTTTAAAGTTAATCTGGAAATACTGTAAAATTAAAAAAAATTACTAAGTTATGTCATTTTTCATTCTCCCTTTCAACAATTTACTAGCAAGTTGCTCTTTGAGCCTTGCTTCAAAAAATAGGCCTGTTTTTGACTTCCATGCATGGAGGATTGATTCCGAACCTTTTTCTTCTTTGATGAATCTCAGGTATCTACTGATGGGGTTGATGCATATTCCGAGCTACGGTATGTCCATGTTGATTTTAGAACTGAAACATAATCTGATATCAAAGTGGTTCCCTCAGACATACCAATGCTAGTGAAGACTGGCAAATTTGAAATCATGGTTAGTTTTTTGTTGATTGCTTCTTTCTTTTCTCTTATTTTTGCCCCTTGTGAGAGTAGAAAGTTTGATGTTGAAATAGCAGGCTCACATTTTTACAAATCAAACACATGCTTTGTATATGTATATTTTTACAGAGTTTATTCCTCCCTACAATTTACATTATGTCTGTACAAACTCAAATTTCTTAATTTGAGGTTATACAATTTTTTATAATTTTTCAAATAGTCGATTTCGTGTAAATTTATACCCATCAAATTGTTGGTTAAAGAGAGGTTTTATAAGAGATTTTACTTTATGTTCGGCCTTGGTTATTTTACATCTTGTTCAGAGTGATGTTTATGCTCATGCTATGGATAGTGTTCGTTCTACCTCCCAACCATTGATAAAGTTTGCTTGGGATTTATTTCCCTACCTGAGTTGTTATGTTCTCTTGTTTATGAGATATGTTGTGTTTCTTTTATTGTTTGTCTGCTTTTAATTGTGTTGTTTACTTTCTTGTTGGTGTTATTGTCGCCTTATTGGCACGTCTCTTTATTTCCTTTATGCCTTGATTTAAGGCAGTAAGATCTATATTTTTCCTGGCAATATACTTGAAACTTTTGCCAAGAAAAAAAAGGCAAAAATATCTCTTTTAAATGATCATTTATCTAGTACTAGGTAACAGTCACATTTTTTTAAAAATAATTTAATCATCTCTCAAATGAATGATTATGTCTTAAATAAATGGTTTATATTGAAATTAAGTATCTTATGACTAATCAAGTTGAACTAATGTTAATTGGAATGATTTGATTCATATATGCACAATGATTCAGTCTCAATAATCTGCAAATTGCAAAACACAAAAACTCAAAACCCAAAATGACACACCTCGAAGATGCTTCGACGTTGCTGTCGTATCTCTGCAGTGGCTCGCCAACATCTGTCGAGAGGGAGTTGTCGCCTATTGTCGATGGGTCGTTGTTGCCTTCTTGGTGAATTGATAGAACCAAATTGATTTACAACATTGACAAAGGCAATACTTTCATGTTCATGCTAAGGCTCTTACCCTCTCCCACCATCAGTCACTGTTATATTATTGTCACTCTTTTGTTTTCAATTTGACACTAAACTTGATAGGTTAAAATTCAAAATAATATGAATGATTGATATAGGGTTTAGTTCACCACTTACTTTTTTAGTTTTTACCATTAATATTTCATTGAAAATTCGACAACTAACTAATTACGTAAAACTTAAAATACTTAACAGGTAGAACTTGAATGAGTAATTGAATGAAATCACGTCTATTAAGTTTTTGTCGAATAACTTTATCTAAAAAGCAACTACAAAAACTAAAATGGTCTTTTAATGGAAACTTTACGAACTAAAATAGAATGTCTGAAAAAGTTGAAAGGCTAACATGAAATAAACACAAAAATGTAGAGGCTATGTATAATTCAGTTATGACTATATAGTTATCATATATATAGGTAAAGAAGTGACATGGTGGTATGTCATTGGAATACATATTTTTATACATTTCAACAATTCACGCCCTAAAAGTTTATTTTAATTTATGATTATTTTAAAATAAAATGACACCAATATTGCTTTATTCTTCAAAACTCGATGAAAACTTTGTAATTTTGTGAACTCAATTGTTGTAAATTACTTTTTGTGAATTTATATAACTTTGTTTCTTTGTAAAATATTGAATGTTTTATTCAGTGATATGATGGATAATAAGACTTTAGAAAAAGGATGTGATGGTATATTTAATGTGTCAATTTATTATTTTTGTATGTTTATTGAACTGCTAACAAGTTTTGAAGTAAATTTGATCAAATTATACAAAGTTATATATAGTGCCAAATACCAACTATAATAATTATAACAATGAGAGAAAAGTATAGAAATAGATAACAATGTAATATAGAAGCTATACACACAATATAATAGCGTAAATAAAAAACTATTATAAGTTTAAGATAGCACAAAATATGGGCTATAATGACTATACAATAGGCATATGATAGCACTATTATAAAAAACAGTTGAAGATAGCACAAAAAATGAGCTATTATAGATTTAAGATAGCACAAAAAATAAACTATCTAAACATATAATAGCGTTAAAAGGAAAACACTATTAAATGTTTTCATAGCAATGTAAATATGCAATAATTTTTTCATTTATTATACATCAGTTATAGCTCTCAAAAAACGCTATCGAAAGTCACAGACTTTTAATAACTATCTCGTACAAGTTTAAAATACATAAACAATATAAAACTACCAACCACCTATGCAACTTCGAAATTATTATCACATGTGTTCSGGGATAAAATATCCAATTGCCACGTGGAGGACAAAGATTGGTTGATAAAAGAAGTTGTTTGAAGAACTGTTTAGCAAAGCTGCTTCCGAGGAGGGAGGTTCATTACCCCTAATCACATTACAACCTTAAGAATATCCGAGTTTGATCTACTAGAACCCGACATGTCCGACCTCAAAACCTACTAGGGTAACAGCCTGTCGCGACCCCTGTCGGGACCTAAACCTATAAATAGAGGGCCTCATTTCACCATAAGGTATCGATTTTTCTCCTCGAACTTAATATTGAGTCCGAGCTACTTACTAACTTGAGCGTCAGAGATTTTGCCCTCTTATGCAGGTCTTCTCGTTGTATTTCAGGTCGGAGCGAGGACCGGGTTCGAGCTCGAGAACCGTTGTACAAATTCTTGCGTAAACAACATGCTTAGGAAGTTGAGTTGAGGTTATAAGAGTGTAAAGTGGAGTGATGAGTGCAAATTTAAAAAATTAAATACCAATTTTTCTTCCAAATTTGACCTAGTTGGAACAATTTTTTTAATCCAAAACGTTATTTCAAATAAGTCCTTATGTAATTTTTTTTTCCAAACCAAATATGAGATTTAAAATCCTTCCAAACCCGAGGTCCAAATAACGGGCAAAAGGGGAGGGAATGATATTAAATTTCGGTCGACACATCGATATTTGCATCAATAATTTCAAATGTTCATTAGATCAACAACATCAAACCAACATTTCTACATTATTGTAAAAAAAAAAAACGACAAAATAGGAATAATATCAACAAAATATCATTAACATACCCATAATATTAATACTAATTATTTTAAATTTATTTGAAAATGTTGAAAATTTCTTACAATTTTTCTTCCATCTAAAGTAGACATTTTTGCTACCCTCGTCTTTGGCGGTATAACTCGGTGAGCTGACTCAGTCCGGTGGCGCCAAAAAGTCTTAAACCCTAAACCCTCTGAGCTCTCTCTCTCGCTCACAGTTGCCATGGCGTCCATGGCTTCCAAAGCGAATCCACTTTTTTCTACCATTCCCCACTTCCTAACATGGAGGAGCCTCGGTTTCCGTACCATTTGTTGTGGTCGCATGGGCTTTGCCTCTCAGTCCCAGCAGCAGCTCGATCCCGACACAACCCTGGCGTCCCGGACCAAGGTTCTTGAAACTTTCACAGAAGAATTCGAGATTGGATCGCGCTTAATCACGTTGGAGACTGGGAAGATCGCTCGCTTCGCTAATGGCGCGGCGGTCTTGGGCATGGAAGACACCAAGGTCTTATCTACCGTCGCCTCTTCTAAGGGGGACTCTGTTCGGGACTTTTTACCTCTCACGGTATGTTTGTTCGCTAGTTCTGTGTTGAAATGTTTGCAGATGATTACTACAATGCTTTATTTGAAGAGAATGTTGAGCCTTTATTGTATGGGTGGATGCGAAACAGAGATAATTGATTGTAACCATACATGCACGAAATGAGACTTATAAAATGTTCTTACTGGATCCGGAACTTTTTCGGTGCAAGATTTTGTTACCTCCACATTTCTGGTCGGCTTCTTCGATTTCTTGTTCGTCATAATCTGAAGAGATCGGGAATTTAAGGATACATATAGTCTGGAGTATCATTTGCTATGCACTGGCTCGTGCTTGGGTACTGAACAGTTGCTGTGCATCGAGCAACGTAATTAAGGATGCATCCATGGGAAAGAGTGATACAATTTTTGTTTTTGGCCCCATTTCTCTCTTAATGACTTTTCATGCTTGTAACATGCGTTATAGATGCTTGGTTTTGTCCTGTTTTGTCCTGTGTTCTTCCCACACCATTAGTTAGAATGTGTAGTGGATCATGGTTTTTGAGGGTTTTACATCTGTTTAGGTGGATTATCAAGAGAAGCAATTTGCCCAAGGTGTTATTCCAAATACATTCATGCGGAGGGAGGGGGCTCCTAAAGAGCGTGAACTTTTATGTGGCCGCATTATAGATCGTCCCATTAGGCCATTATTTCCTGCTGGATTTTACCATGAGGTCCAGGTATGCATTTTGAGTTTTGGTAATTTGCTGACAATAGTACTTTGGTTAATTATCATGTGTCGTTATAATCTGCAATATTTTGACATGCCTCTCCTGTGACCCTTTTTTATCTTGATGACTTCCGTGCATATTCGCTAATCCAAGGTAATGGCCAGCGTTCTTTCTTCCGATGGTAAACAAGATCCAGATGTTATGGCAGCTAATGCAACATCCGCTGCTCTTATGTTATCAGATATTCCCTGGGGTGGCCCCATTGGAGTGATACGTATAGGAAGGATTAATGGGCAGTTTGTTGTCAACCCGACAATGAATGAGGTAATTATGGGTGGTGTTTGACAGCACATCCTTAATTTATACATGCGTACCTACATAGACATGTCTATTTGTGTGTTTGAGGTTGTTTGTTTTGTTGTCTTTTTTCTGAACTTGTATACTAAATTGCATTCTTTTTATTACTTAGTGAAGTTTTACTTCTGATCCAGTTTTTTTTCAACCACCTATCATCATGAAATTAAGTATTTAATTTTGCTTCTCCACGACTTTGAAATTCACCAGTGTGAATGGTATTAGTTGGCTTATGGATTCTCATGTAGGTTCTTTTTTAACATTATGAATTCTCACTTTAACAGTTATCTTGTTTTTACACTCTCCATGCAACCCTTCCATTCCCCTGCCATCCCTAAGAAAATTAGAAAAACTTTTTGCTTACAATGGACCCTTTGTTGCTTTGAACTATACATTTTATGATGTAATAAAGATCAGAGTTTTCAGTTGTCCTAGCATATGGTTCTGTTCAGCAATTTAAAAAGGTGCACCTGGGCCCCTCGCTCTCCCAAGGCAAGGCAGTGACAGAGCCAAGAAAGTAATAGAATAATTTACCAATCTCTTTAAAAAGTTCACATTTCTTTAATTTTTCATCATTTCATTATTCGTAAACCTATATTCTTGCATGCTATAAAATGTTTGTTAACCATTTTTCTATTGTGCACTTCATAAAAAACAGCTGAAGAGTGCTATTGCAATTCAATGCACCTCACGCTTTAGAAAACATTAGTTCAGTGCAGTTTCTGTCAAAAACTCTGAAAATTACATGTTTCAATTTCTCTTATTTATGAGTGTATTGCATTTGGATGTAATGCAGCTTAACTTGAGTGATCTCAACTTAGTATATGCATGTACAAGGGAGAAAACTTTGATGATTGATGTCCAAGCGCGTGAAATCACAGAAAAAGATCTTGAAGCTGGATTGAGGTTGGCACATCCTGAAGTAAGTGATGGGGATATAAATTAATTCAAATAGCCTTTGTGTAACTGATTGCTACTAACATCACCGACTTTGATGTTTAGGCTGTTAAGTTTCTTGAACCTCAAGTCAGACTGGCTGCTAAAGCTGGAAAACTGAAGAAGGAATACAAGTTGTCCATGGTGTCAGATAGTACAATGGAAAAAGTTACTAAGTTGGCCGAAGCCCCTATTGAAGCTGTTTTCACTGATCCCTCATATGGCAAGGTGTTCACTATGTATTATTTGCAAGATTGAATTGTTTGAATTAGAATTGTTGACTTGACCTCCTGCTGACCTTCTTCCTTTGTGTGTGTCTGTCATGTTTCTTTGTGAAGAAAGCTTTCATGTTTATCCCATTAAATACTGCTTTGATCCGTACTAAGTAGTTTTATTTTTGTATTACATTTAGTTTGAACGTGGAGAGGCCCTAGAAAATATCACTCAAGATGTAAAGAGAACATTTGAAGAAGAATGCGATGAAGAAGGCCTGAAGGTTTTGCCAAAAGCAGTAGACTATGTGAGGAAAAAGGTATGCATATGACAATGCAATTATAAATATTTGAAAGATGTTCCTCTTTTTCCTATTGTGCAAAATTGGAACTTGAGTTGTAATGGGCGATTAAACTCTTGCAGTTTCTTCATAGTTAAGCCCTGCACTGCACCATTATTATGCCTGGATTATGACTTTTGGATAAACATAACTGGATGGAATATGGTTTTCTATGAAGTACAAAACACATGAATTTTTGTTTCAGTCTTATATGTTTTTAATACACTCATCTTTATTCTCTCTAAGAAGATTAGCAATTTGAAGTTCATGAAATATTAGGTTGTCCGAAGAAGGATCATTTCAGAAGGACTTAGAGTTGATGGTAGACGTCTTGATGAAGTTAGGCCATTGTATTGTGAGTCCAGTTATTTACCTGTACTTCATGGCTCCTCAATTTTTTCTCGAGGAGATACACAGGTGAGCTAGATAATTTATTTAGTAGGTTTTTGGCAAGCTATTACTAATCATTTTACCCTTAAGTATAAGAAAACTTTATTGCACGTTAATTTTAACTTATAATTCTCAAAAAAGACTTTCGATTAACTCCCCCACAGGTTCTATGTACTGTAACTCTTGGAGCACCTGGAGATGCTCAACGCTTGGAATCCCTCGTTGGTCCACCAACAAAACGTTTTATGCTTCACTATAGCTTTCCCCCATTTTCGATAAATGAAGTGGGAAAGCGAGGTGGTTTAAATAGGCGTGAAGTTGGCCATGGTAAATGATTTATATATTTTTCTTCATGTTATTCAATATATTTAAACTAAAGTGGGGGCTTAGGTATTGCAACTTGGTTTTGAGTAAATAAGTGTCGGGGCTATGGGAAAGTCAATACCTTGGATTGTATTCAAAGGAGTTATTCCTTTGTATTTAGAGGAGTTCTTCCTTCATATTGGGACCGCTGTGGTGTGTACTTTACATAAGTGCCTCGGAGGATCGTGACCACCTTCTGTAGTCTTGTCAGTTTGCTCGGGATATATGAGATCATTCTTTTTAGTGCTTTGAGAAGTCTTTGGCTTGTAACAAGGATTGTCGGGTGATGATGGAGATGTTGTTGCCCCACCTTTTGGGATAGGGGAAGGTTCTGGTGGCAAGCTTATTTCCTTGCTACTACTTTGTGGGGAGTTTGACCAGAGAGAGACAATAGAATCTTTAGGGGTGGAGAGATCCAAAGAGTTTGTTCGAGAGTTTATTAGATTTAATACTTCCATGTGGGATCAATCTCTCAAGTTTTTGGTAATTATTAGTTAGATGTTATTATTTTGGATTGAAGCCCCTTTCTCTAGGGGTTGTTGGGCAATTTTTTTGTATGCCCTTGTATATTTTTTCATTCTCTCCGTGGAAGCTCAGTTTCTTATAAAAAATGTTGTTTTCCATTCGGCTGTGAAGGTTTCCATGGGAAAAAATAGTTCTCTTTCATATAAGGTGTAGCTTTGTGAGAAAGGTTATATTTTCTTATTATCATTACAACCCATTTAGGGGTAAATATACAAGAAGACCTTTCAACAAATAAGGAATTAATCTAAGCCTATAAGGAAAACAATAAAATTACAGAATATACAGAGACATAATGAAAATTCTAATAAGGAAAAAACTTAATTTATGGCTTGATTTTCTACACTCCCCCTCAAGCTGGATGATATATGCTTGTCATTCCAAGCTTTGAGATTAATCTACTAAGGGTCGATGCAATGCCTTAGTTAAAATATCAGCAGCTTGTTGTTGGGAAGATACATATCTCAGATTGATAGTATTTGTCTCAATCTTCTCGCTGATGAAGTGACGATCTATTTCGACATGTTTCATCC